CCCAATGGTGTATAGAAAAACATCCCCAAAAGAATATTTTTCAAGTAAAATCCATCATGAAACGCTGCCCAAATGCAATTTTTAAAGTCACACACCATGGAGAAAGCCAATACTAGTTCCCGGGCCAAAATTCTAAAATGAAGCATGTCCATTCAAACCATTAAAATTGCACCAAAACAAAGTCATACGCCAAAAGTTCATTTTGAAGCTCCAGTTGAATTGGGCTTGCTTGTCTAAAACGCACTCGCTCAAACCGTCATCTCTTGACTTGCAATGAACATTTAAAATTTAGTTTGTTTCAATAATTGTAGATAGCCACTTGCCATTCGCTCCATGGTTCTTGCCCTTTGCAATCTATAGCTTGTATCTTGGATCCTGCAAAACGTGTTGTTAAGGATATTTAGTAATAAATTATAGTTTTATTTGATATTTTATTATAAGGCAAATATTATTATTATCATAGGTATCTTTCCATTTATTGTTATTTCCATTTATTACTATTTTCATATTCTTGTAATTCATTTGATTATAAATAAGATAACTTTCACACTATTTAGGTGTGGTGGATTAATCAAACATTCACATGGTATCAGAGCCCTCTCGGTTTAACAACCCCAATCCTTTCTTTTCAATGGCTTTTGAATCCTCTAATCTTCTTCTCCACCACCCCTGCTGGTTTTGACGCTGCAGGGACAGTCTTCATGGCTGCCGTAGTCGGAGCCGATTGATTACTCTTCGGCTCCACCCTATTGACCTCCAAATCACCTTTCGTCATACTCTGTACATACAACCTCACCTTTTTCAACCCAATCGGTTTTTCCCTTGGCCAATATAGTCTCTCTCATTTTCTTCCCAATCAACCTTCATCCTTCACATAAACCCTAACCTAAACCTATCAACCTTTTGCAGAGATTTACCTTCGGAATCTGGGTGCCGCACTGGCCTATTCGCCAACAAAGTTGCCGCCGCCCTTCCTGCCAAAATTGGCTTCTTCGCCCAATGAGGCGACTCTTCCGACTGCCCTTCTCGCCAAAATTGGCTCCTTCGCCCAATGTGGCGACTCTTCCGGCTTCAACATTGTCTTTGTCCCTTGCTCTAGGTTTCCCCTTCTACTTCTTGGGGTTAGAAATATTCTCACCAGAGCCAAGGCAGCATCGTCGCTAAGCGACAATCCCTCTTCATGGGTTAGACATATTCTCGCCGAAGCCAAGGCAGCATCGCCGCTGAGCGGCGATCCCTCTGCAAAGTTTTGATGGCCAAGAACCGGGTTGATAGCATCTTCATGAAAAGTGTTTCTCAACCTCTTTGAATTTCTCAGATTCAAGCTTCACGTTCGTTTAAATCCAACGCTTAGCTTGCGGTGGGGTGTTAAGGATATTTAGTAATAAATTATAGTTTACCATATATATTATATTTGATATTTTATTATAAGGCAAATATCTAATATTTGCCTTATTATCATAGGTATCTTTCCATTTATTGTTATTTCCATTTATTACTATTTTCATATCCTTGTAATTCAATTGATTAT